AATTAATCAATCTTGTTCCTAGTTTTAATCCCTCGAGGTATCTTGTACCTAATTAGTCCTCCATGTAATATCTTAAAAATAATTACAGGAAAGCAATTCAAAGGAAATCACTATTTTAAATGCTGTCACTTTCAATTTTGGAAGTCTGTTACCAGCTACTTATTTATAGCATATGCTTACCGTCAAGATTCTTTGAAAATGATTGCTTTGGGAGGAGGAAAAGAAATTAATATGCATTATATACATATACCAAATTCTCACAAGGAATGTAAACATAATGTACTCCTCTTATATACTGATAAATTTTTTAAAAATAAAATACATAAGAAAGGTAACGATTCTAACCAGTCCAGTGGTACAATTTTGTTTACAGGCAGTTTCTTAAATAGCAAATATATATAAATTTAAAGGACAAAATTTTATTTTAAAATTTTCCAAAATTTTATTTTAAAATCTAGTGTGAGAAAAACTTTTATGACCTAGATAATTTAACATGTAATTTTATTACTCAAAAATACCTTAATAAAGTAGCAAAAAGGTCAATATTTAAAAATTGTACATAATTTGTTAGCATTTCCCTTTTTAATATCAGAGACCTAGTTGTGATTTTTTTTTACTAATATTTTCTAACCTTTAGAATTCTCATTTTCTATCTGAATATATGTCCATAGAGTCATAGAGTGGGAATTTTAAGGACAGTAGTATTTGCAAAGTAATCGATGTACTGGAACACAGGAAACACTCAATTTTTTTTTTTGCAACTAATGGGGAGCAACCTCACAAACTTGTGCATGCCAGGTAGGTGCTGTGCCCCTGAGCTATATGAAACACCTGATTTTTAAAGCAATAATATTAGCTGTGAGATAGCTAAGTCATAATTTAAAAATGTAACAAGTAATTAGTATTCTTATAATTAGTATTCTTTGTTATATTCAAGATTAGTATAGAGTTTTTCCACATGTTCTCCTATATATTAGTTGCAGGTTGTAACATGTTAAGAAAGTAATCAGGATATCTTTTTAGGTCTTTAGATTTAGATTCCCCTATACTGATTGGCAACCAAATAATACATGTACAAAATAGACATTTTTTTCCCAAAGTAATTATCAAAACAAGTATAATCACCTATGATATTAAAAGAGGAAACATGCTAAAATATAACATTTGATTAAATCTTAAAAGACAAGATGAAAAATTTACATCTTATAATGTCTTTTGGAATCTGAAAAAGAAATCCAAACTCTATCTAAGGCTAGAGAGACGGAATCATTTTAGAAAGGCTTAGAAATTATCTAGTAAAGTTCAGTTCAATATTTTTTCCAAAAACATTTAGTGCGAAATAGAAATCACCTATAATTATGTATTTTTGACTTTCAAAAATTGTATATTTTATATCAATTATTTTCACTGTAGATTCATATGCAAAATTTAATAACATTTGCTTAGAAACATGGACTTTTTCTTTCAATTTAATACTATATTCAAAATATTTTTGTCCTAAGATATTCATCAAAAGCATCATTTTAATGACTTTCGTATATTCCATATTATGAATCCATGATAATTTATTCATCTCTTTCTGTATTAAAGAAACAATTCATTTTGTAAGTAGTATTTGAAGTTGACAGTGCTCAATTATATGAAAGTGAAGTTTATTACTTGACTTATTTTTTGACTTTTTAAACTTTTTAAAATTTTATTTTAAAGAGAATAAAACCAAACAAAATGCAACAGAATAAAGCCAATCAAAACAAAACAAAGAGAGTGATATTGGACTTCAAGAAAGATAATATCAAATCAATAATGGCTACCACAATGCCTCTTGTTATCTTCAAAATAGCTGCCCAGACCACCAGACATAATAAAATCTAACAAAACAGAATAAAACCAAACCAAACCAAACAATGAAAACGATCCAGAGCTTCATAATAAGGGAAAAGGATTTTAACAACGGCTTCGCTTTTCAGACATCTTCTTCCCTTTAACCTTCACAATATCTACTGTACAATTTAAATCCCACTAACTTCTTCATTCATGTTTTTCCTTTGTAATTTTAAAGAGAATAAAGTGAATTGAAACAGCAATAAAGATAGTAGTTACTATATTGCATATTCTTGTTCTCTAGTTTCTCAGCTTTGGGATTGCAAAGTCAGTCAAACAATACAGTTCCTGGGAATCAGCTGGTGGCTCCCCGGCCCACTGGTCTTCTGGCTCAGAGGTGGGGACTTAGCTTAAGTCTTTGTTCTCTCTGATGTGCGCTCTGAGGCTCACAGGCAGGGGCTTAGTTTCCATCTTGGCTGGAGGTTTATTATTTTAAATTCACGCTGAATCTTTATGATTTAACTTGTGATTTCACGAGGTGAATGAACCACGTTTTCAACTTTGATTTTATAAAAACACTTCCACAGAAAAGGTTTAATTTCATCAGATTAGCCACCTAGTATTTGATATAGTTTAGAAGTAGATTTTCTATTTCTTAGCTCTATTTGGTCATTGTGCATTCCCAGGCTCCAAAGTATTATAAATAAGGGAGAAAGTTTTGGGAATTTCCCAGTGAAATGTTATTCTTGTGGTTTTATATATAAATTTACTCAAATACATAAAAACAAATGACTTAAAAATCATACTATTTATTCCCTTTTCCTTTTAAACTGCAGATTTTAGACTTAAACATTTACTTACATTTTAAAAATAACTGATTGTGGTCACAAAGAAATTATTAAATATATGTGGTGTCATAGTTTGGACCTGAATCTTACTAGTACCATTTCCTCATTCTATAATTTAGATACGTAATTAATTTACTCAACCTCCCAATATTTTTCACTGATAAAAGGTACATAATCCATTGTACTTACAATATTATTATGAAAGTAAGTTGTAAGAATACACAGAAAGCACCTAGCCCCCAATGCTCTCAATTATTATGAAGTGATTATTGCCATTAATAATCCCCACCAATGATATTTTCCATATGAAGGAGAGCTGCTGAAATATCCATATTTGTGTTTTATCATAATTTGCTTTTTCCTAAAAATTTACATTGACAAGACAAAAATGGTGCAGATTTCACGATATATGTATGTGTACAAGTTTCATTCTCCCCTCCACTGTCTTTTTTTTTTGGTACCGGGCATCGAACTCACAACTACATGCTTGTAAGGCAGGTTGCTTATGCTGCTGAGCTAAATCCCCTGCCCTTCCCTCCACTTTTATAAAATTAAAATGATATAGGTCATAATGCCATCCTAGCAATATCATGCACATGCACTGGGCCACTGTGTGCACTGTTCTCTGCCTGTTATGACTTTATTCTTCTCAGGCTTAAAAAGTCCTGAGGGACAAAATGCACCATAGAACACAATGCAATTCCAAGGATGTTGAGAATTCTTAAAAACTCAAAATTAAATCAAGGAATATCATTTGAATAAGAAGAGTGTTCTGGTAACTCATAACAATGAGTGAACATGCTTGATATTGCTGGAATGGCATTCAGTGTGACCTATAGAGCCTTAGTAATTTTATGTAAGTGGAGGGAAGAATGAGATTGTTCACACGTGTACATAGTCAGCATCACAAAATCATTCATGTACTCTGACACTGATGACAAAATGGAGAGGGGAGTAAAACAGAGCCTGAAAAATACGTGAAATTATTAGGAACTTTTTATTCCATGCTAACTTCAATGTAAACCATTTATATTTTTGTTTTATGTTTTGTTTTTGCTTTGTATTGCTATTGTTTGCAATACTAAGATCAAAACCAGGGCCTCATGTGTGCTCAAGGCAAGGGCTCTATCCCTGAGCTACACCCTAAGTCAACATTTTTAGGATTATGTATTCATGTCTTATCCCATATATGAGACCTAGAGTGGCTAAGCCATAGCAATCCCTCAAAAGATACGTGAATATTTGGATGGTTAAATGATGGAGTATGCAAATGACTGAATTATCATTTAGTATTGACTTAATGTGTCCTACCTGAATTTTATAAAGTGACTGTGATGTCAGCAGGACAGACTGAAAAGTGAAAACTGAGAAAGCAGGTGATGTATAGTCACACAGGTGAGGCGGCTAAAGACTTGAATTCATGGGCCCTGTAGGGTTATGAGAGAAGTGGCAAAATAAATGTTGAATAAGTAGTTACCAACTTAAGCTCCCTAAATTCAAAGGCCCTCCCCCAAAATGGGCATCTGAGATGAACACACAGTACTCAGATGAAGATATACAAATGGGAAATAAATACATGAAGAAATGTTCACCATCACTGTCATTCAAGAAACGAAAATTAAAACAGCTTTGAGATTTCATCTCACTCCGGAAAGAATGGCTGCCATCAAGAAATCAATTGATAACAAATGTTGGCAAGGCTGTGGGAAAAAAAGGAACACTGCTCCACTGTTGATGGGGGGTGTAGACTGGTGCAACCACTATGGAAATCAGTATGGAGAATTCGAGAAGAGTAGGATTGGAAGTTCCATTCAACGCAGCTATTCCCCTCCTGGGTATTTTCCCAGAAAACCTGAAAAGGTCATATGACAGTGACACATGTGTACCCATGTTCATAGCAGCATGATTTGTAATAGCTAAATCTTGGAAACAACCAAGATTCCCATCAACTGCAGAGTGGAAGAAAAAGATGTGGTATTTTTATACAATGGAATATTACTCAGCTATAAAAAGGATGATCTTGAGGCCTTCATAGACAAATGGAGATAACTCGAGGCTATCCTCATTAGTGAAATAAACAAAAATCATATTTATAAATATCACATTGTGTCTCTAGTGTAAAAATTAATAAGAAATGTAGGAGTAATGAAACCCAAAATGTGTAATTTTGTGTACATGTATTTTCTGCATTTGAGGGGAGCAGGCATACTTTTAGAAGAGACTTTTTAATTCATTTTTATTTCTTTCTTTTAAAGTACATTAAGAATTCACCCCAGTACACTGTTCTGTAGAAAGAAATGACCAATAAAAATGTATCATTTTGTCTTCCAGGCAATACAGCAAAAGTATACATTGAAATTCAGGATGAAAACGATCATCCTCCAGTGTTTCAAAAAAAATTCTACATTGGAGGTGTGTCTGAGGATGCAAGAATGTTTGCTTCGGTGCTCAGAGTAAAGGTATGAGAAAATGCATTAACATAGTGAACTAAAGCAAAACTCATATGCTTTTATAAATAAACTGTAATAACACATTTCATATTGACTATATTTAGTCATGTGGTATAAACAAAAGCCTAAATCTTAGAAACAGCAGGTTAATTATCTAAACTCAACACAGATTATTAAGTGAAAAGTTACCAAATTGATTTGCTTTAGTTTTACTAAAATCTAGGAACAAATATTCTATCATATTCTATATTAAATAAGGTCTTGACATGTTTCTTTTTCTTTTCAGTCTAAATTTTTATGCCTTGAATTGTTTTAGTTCATAATAACCTGAAAGATTTTCAAAATGGAATTTTTTGGGGGAGGGGGAGTACCAGGGATTGAACTCTAGACCTTGCACTTGCCAAAATGAAACTCTTAATGATGGATATAAAATCACTGATTTCTAACCAAAAAATATATATAAAATATTATGCATTGATTTGTTTCTGCAGTAATTTTAAAAAAATAAATAATTAAATTAATGTTAAAAAAAAATCACTAATTTTTATAATTTACTTTTGAAAGAAATACCTTCATATACCTAAAAGTTTAATCTGACCTGTTTAGAATTTTAAAATTACATTTAAGATTAGTATGATAGTATTCAACCTTTCTATAATGTTATCAAATATGTTTCAAGATAATCTTTGTTAGTACAAACAGTTGCAAAATTTTCATTTCTAAGAAACGTATTTATAAATGCTGTTTTTTTGAGGCAAGCATTTGGATTCCAGTAAGGTTTAGCTTTTTAATTATTGTTATTTTTCTGTACATATTTTAATAAACACTTTGTAACTAGAATTGTGCTGTTGTAAAATTTAAATGGACAGCTATTTCAAGGATAATAAGATATATTATGGTAGCCATGTTGGATTTATTATTATCTTGTTTTGAAGTCCTTTATTGCATTCATTGTTTTGTTTAATTTATTCTATTCTGTTGTTTTATTTGATTTTCACTATGTCTGAAGGTATGGGAAGCTATTTTGAAAACAAAAGGCTTTATTGGAACAATTATTGATTTCCTATTATATTGTTTTGAAGTTCTGTGTCACACTGTTTTGTTTTGATGGGCTTTAGTCTGTCTTATTTTTATTGGTTTTATTCTCTTTAAAGTAAAAGCTACAAAAAAAAAAAAAAAAAAGAGGGAATGTAAATAACTACATAGGAGCTAATGTCTGTAGGTGAGCTATGCCCTAAAGAGAATACATGGCTTTCAAGGGATTAGACAAACAGAGGTGGGATTGAATGAGAAGAGAGCATTTAACAATATATTGGTGCAACTATACTGTGTAACAAGCCTCGTAGGAGAGCACTAATTGCACTGTGGGTTCACATTTCAACATTTCAACAGGTGAAAAAATGTTTTCGTAGAGTTGAAAAATTTGAGATTAGGATGGAAGTGTGTTTAGATTTTCTCAAAATGAAGCTTTTAGACTAAACATAGGAAACAAAGAAAAGTAAACTGAACAAAAACAGAGAACATTTGTGGACAAGAGATTGGGAAGTTCGGAATCTTAAATCTGAAGTGGTCAACATAATTTGGTTTCCGACTTAAGCCTCTCAGCCTGGAATCTTCTCCTTTCCAGAATTTAATCACAGTGAGAGAGTTAAGCAGTTCTCAATTCACACTTAGAAAAGCAAAAATATTATTTAAAATAGCATTGATTTGGGGCCAGGTATTCTATGGTGTTTGAAGGAAAGATGATTGTAAAGGGTCGAAGTCGTCCAAGATTGTGAAAGACACTTTCATGCTATTCACAGTGCAAAATTAATGTTACATATCACCCTATGATGAAAATTAACTTTTGAAATAGTTATTTGAAAATAAAAAATTTTGAAATAATTATTTGAAATAAAAAAGTTAACTTTTCAGCTCACCATGAAGTACAGAATGATGAAGTTTAAATTAAAATAATATGTAAGAAAAAAAAAAGGAAATGTTGGATAGGATAGCATCAATGAAATAAGCTAAGACTGAAATATAAAAAAGGTGTACAATGTAATGACTAAATATTCGAAACAACCAAAATTCCTATCAACCACAGAATGGATAAAAAAGATGTGTCATTTTTATACGAAGAAATGCTACTCAGCTATAAAAAATGTGATCTTGAGACTTTTATAGGTAAATGGAGGCAATTTTAGACTATCCTCATAATTGAAATAAATTAGACTCACATTAATAAATGTTGTATTGTCTCTCTAGTATAAAAAATAATAAAAACTGAAAGATTCAAAATGTATAGTAGTGTTACTGAAAAAGAAATAAATGCTTTAAAAGATATAACTGTATGTGTAAGACAGATAACCATACTGCTCAGTTTCTGTTAGTTCATCAAGCAGAATGATTTCTACTGTGATTGTTTGATTTTTTACTTTTTATACTTTGATTTCGTGACTTGAGCAACTACTTCTAAGATAACAATATTTAATTTTTAAACTGGTGATTTCTCACTGTTTTTATTGAAATTTTGTATTATTTCTACCTTTTTTCTGTTTTGCTTTTTTATCTAAATAAAAAAAGATACACAAGCCTCACATAGAGATAACACTTTTAATCATTATTGAAAAATATGCCACAGATAAAGTTAGCACAAGAGAATTATGAAAAGTAATTATTTATTATAAGCGGTAGTAAAATAATTATATATAATTAAATATATATTCGTAAAAAACATATCTAACATGCTAAAGTACTTGATAGAAATTCATATATGTGTAGATATAGATATAGATATATATGTGGTTTGCAGAGCAGAGCAAACCACACTGTTGGACCTTTATAGAGTTTAAAAAAAAATTGTAAGTAAAAAACTCTTATAATTAACTTGGATGAAATACCAAGCACAGATTTGTTCAGTTAGACTGATGGGAATATAATTATCTGGAAATTAGTTAAATAATATTTAAAATTATTTGTACCATTAGCATACTTTAGGTGAGGAGTTTGGTGTTTAGGTGCTTGTGTTGCCGAAGTGTAATAAATGTTCTTGGTTGATATTTTATTCTTCTCATGCTTAATAAAATATCAATTTATTATCCTAAGGATCATATACTTCAAGGGAGGTAAACTCTATTCTTAAAACTGACCTCTTCAAGCCAACCATACCTGTCCTGTTACGCTTGTAAATAGTAAGTTTAGACGTGGAAATGTTACTTGTATTTTAGCATGTATTGAACAGTCAGGGAGGTCTGCTGAGAAGTTTCTAGGACAAAAATATTGAATGCCTTCATGTAGAGTTTTGGTTACTCAATGCTTAGAACACTGTTGTTTGTGTAATTTTGGGGCAGTGTTCAAAGAATATGGAACAAATAAAATGTCAATATTTGTGAAGATTTAATACTAATAACTTTGTCACAGCTGGTTCCACTAATTTGATTTCCATCAGGGACAAGTTGTCAGTAATTTTAGTTGCAGAGAGTGTGAAAAGAAAATTGAACAGTATTTCTTACCCTTCATTCTTTGGTCCAAGAAGTTAACATCAGATAAAATTACCATCCTTGGTATGCAGTCATTATAATTGAAAACAAGGATACTAAGATGCATTTATATACCTATACTCATAACAGGTTCATTCAAAATGCTAAAAGTGAAAACTTTCCATATGTCTATCTGTGAATGAGAGATAAGCACACATGGTCTATCTATACAATCGCTTATTATTTAGTCACCAGGGTAAATGTACTCTGACATATGCTACCTTGTGGATTAACATGGAAGACATTATGCTGGGTGAAATAACCTAGACATAGAGGACAAATACTGCATAACTCCTCTGATATAAGGTACCTAGGATTGTCATATACATAGAGAATAAAGTAAACTGGTGACTGTATCAGACACAGAAAATAGAGAATGTGAGAGAGAAGATAGACATCTATTGTTTAACAGCTATGTTTAACAGCTAGAGTTTCAGTTTGGGAGAAAACATTCTGTACATGATTGGCAGTAACATATGTAAAATATTTAAAATACTAAATATTGAATTTGTTAGGATTCCTTAGAGGAAGAGAAATCATGTGTATATCATGATGTGTATTAATTTCTATCTATATCCATACATATCAAGGGAATTTATTAAATGTTCTTACAGAATCAGAGACAACATGGTCCACAATGATTCTGTGCATGCACGAGATCCAAATAATATAAAAACTACTACTCCATCCAAGACACTAGAAGATTCAGAACCAGAAGGATCTGAGTAGTGATCAGAGATTGAAAGCCTAGAAACTCTCCATAGCCATTGTGAGACCACACTGAAAGCCTAAAGAAAATGGAGTCTGGAGGCCAGGTAGTGGCAGGAGCAAAAGATTTACCTGCTGAAGCTGAATGGAGCTTTTCTAGCACAAGTTAATTTCCTCTCTCTTCCCTTTTCATTCTGTCTAGGCTACAAGCCCTTTCTATGCTACGATCTGAAATCAGTGCTAGTCCTCCTCCATCATTTGGAGCCTTTCTGTCTACCAGTTATCTCTAAAACAATCCCAGAGATACATCCAAAATTCTGATGTACTAGTCTGCTAATCTCTTCATCCAATGAAGTTGACAATTTAATTAATCATCCCATTTATGTTGTGTGTATTGTACCACAGTAAAATATAACAATAAGGAACAAGATATTATTTCTATTAATAGAATATGAAAAGTCATCTTATCATTGTGTTATTTTTAATTAGTATCCATTTCTCTTCAGCTAATTGGAATATGAAACTCGTGTTCATATACCAAAGGAAAAGTTGCTATTAGTAAAGTTATTTTTATTGAATATATCATGATATTTTAAATATATTTTCCATACTGTGCCCTCAGTGGTAGAAGCATTGTATGTTTTCTTTAAAAAGTCAAAGAAATAGTACCCCAACATAGAAAAGTAATCTTTTAAAATCCATCTCTATCTTCAATTAAAGTAAGATTAGAAGGGTCATGAATAACAATCAAATATTAGCCATAATTTTAAATGAGATAAA